AATCGTCGCCGAACAGCTCTTGCGGCACTTCAAGGGCAAACCGAATGGCATTCATCAATGTACTCCAACCAACATGACCAGTAATTGTGCTTGGCAACTTGAACAACACGACGAAATTTGTTTCTGGCTCTACGAAAAGCTGCAGCGGCATCCGGCGTCGGATTGCGCCTACGTTCACGCCACGCGGAATTGCGAGCGAAAAGCATGTCCATGCATACATCATTCCACCAATCTGGTTGCTGCCGCTTGGGCTGATCCGTGCGTGTACAAGCTTTCGTCACCCTTCCAAATGATGTCCAACAAGGAACTGTACAGCATGTGAAGCTGTTGACGCGTGTCTGCCTTGGTGAAGCTGTGCGCAATGCTGTTGACTTCATTAACCTGTTGAACCCCATGTTGAACCTCGTGAAATTGTGATTGCAGCAACTTTGGCCAACTGCGAACTTGCAATGTTGTGATGGGTGACGGCACAGCGGAAACTACATCGAATCGCAGCGTCACGGTCAGCGCAAAGTGATCACCACCTAACTGTGGGCAACAAATTCTGCGGTCAACACAATGGCATGTTGCTCCATCGTGGACCTCAACGGATTGGCTCCACGCCTGTGGGTGGGCACGTTGGTGGGGTCACAGATGATCAGTCCGAAAGTTTGTAAAGTGGACCGGGCCTCGGCCTATCAGCAGGCCGAGGCGGGCATGCATTGACCAAGCCCGGGAACCAAACATTTTACTATCACCAGCAACCAAGATTGGAACATGTGGAAATTCATTCGTTGTTTGTTTGTCTGGATTGAAACAAACAACGTTTGCCAAAATTGCGACCGATCAATCTCAGCACAGCCGACACGCGGAGCATAGAATGAAGCAACTGCTACACTGAAGGAGCTATCCCGACACTGTAGCAGCCGCCATGCGATATCCACCTGGTCGGGCACGGACGGGATGACATGCAAAAGTTGCGATGGTCCAGCCCGCTGCACAAACCCCACATCACGACCCCTGGTGGCTGCTAATCCTTCAAAAACAAAAGGTTGATCATCAGGCAAGGCTGGGTCAGCAGGAGTACATGTCTCTTGCAGGAGTGCGGCCGCACAGTTTTGCGACTCAATAAACGCAACGAAACCGTACAGCGCATCATGAAGCCTACCTGAACGAGACCACAACCGATTGCAGTTTAAAGTTGCCAGGCGGCACATGTTGGACGCATCGGGGCCGCCTACCACCGAGCGCCCTGCCCGTTTCCCGATGGTCGGACATGTTGAAGCGGGGGCCTATTGTGATGCCCATTCCCACGAGAAGCATCCACAGTACGTTGACCTCGATGGCGGTGTAACCTCGACCGATGGTCTGCGACGCGATAGCTGCCAGACGAACACTGCCTGGACGTTTGGGGAGGCGGCGGCGGTGGTGGAGGCTGACCAAGGTGTGCCATTGCCATATCTTCGTTTACTGCCGACGCTGTATCATTTTCATTCCGCCCATTTGAAAGACGAGCGGCGGTTTCGGATCCAACGCGGAGTGAAGCAAGGCGATGTTTTGAGCCCAATATTGTTCAACGCTGGATGGAGCACGCATTTCGGAACTGGAAAGCCAAATTGAAACCACAAGGTTTGCATGTTGTGCTCTCTGAATGAATGTCCAACGTAAGACATGAAAATGACATCGTATTGTATGCAAAGACGTCCACGGAAGGGGTCTTGCGAGATTCCGAGAGCCGAATCCGTCGGGGCTCGTATCCCACCATCCACAGGAAGGCTTCAAAACAAATAAAAGCAGGAACGAACTGTCCGAGTGCCGCTCTCTTCAAGGATGCGTTCAATCGGAACCCGACGTAAGACGCCCGTGTATCTCACAGACAACGATGGAAAACGACTGCTTGGCTTTGTGACTTGCTGACTTGTACGTCACGACGCGGGTGCCATGTCTGCTGCAAGTTGTGCTGGGCAGGCCAGCGTCAGTTGTTTGTCGAATTCAAGGGAAAATCCCTCGCGGCGACATTTACAGACGATGCTGGGTTCCGAATGCGCATGGCTGGACCAATGTGGCAACATGTACAGCATGGAAACACAAAACACGCAAATTTGTCAGAGACTTTATGGTCTCCAAAGTCCTGTCTCTCATGTGTCAGCAACATCCCCGTGCCCTTATAGACTTGTAGGACCGTTGCCGTGGTGTCTTTCCATGACTCGAACGGGCGAAAGCGAAAGCGAAGCCTTACGGTACGTGGCCAAATCGCGTTCGCTGGGACCTGGTGGGTCCGGCGGTTGCCGTTTCCACTTCAGTTTAAGCATTGCGTTCCAGGTGTGCGTCCAGCCGGTGTGTGCAATCATTGACGGGGGGCCGAACACCACCAAGGCCGACCGTGGGGCACCTTTCCGTTAAGGGTTTCGGCCCAGCTTGCAAGTTTCGGACACAAGACCAGCTTCATGATAGACTGCCCTGAATGTGTTTTGGTCCACTTTGCGGGTCCGTAGAGCGACTCTGAAACCGGACCTCCAATACGGGAAGCAAACCTGGTCGCAAGGATGGGAGCAAAAAGCATCCCGACGAGTAATCCAAATGATTGGGGCCGAAATTGTGGCTCCCAAAATGAAGTTTCCGTGGCTCCAAAACTGGGCCCGCACGGTCGTAAACTGGTGATTGCTATTGCCGGCATTGAATAAGCTGCCCAAGAAACGAAACCGGAAGTCGTACAAGAGGCTTGCCAACGCCGTGCCGTGCAGTTGCCCAAACACGCATTGTCGTAGACTAGACCACGAGTTTGCACGTAACTTGCTGCGACACGGCCTTACATTACAAAACTTGCCCTCTTTCCAGACAGAGTCGCGTGCAAGCTGATGGAATTCTGGAAGCTCGCTATATTGAAGCCGGAAGCATGCCCATTTTCTGGGCCCAAAACCGCGCCCTCAAAACCACCATCCTTGCGCATGTCACGACGCACTGCCAATGCACGTTTACCAAGCCTTTTTCAACGTGTTTCAGACCACGTAGGCACACGCTCAGCTTCGGAGTTGCGGAACAAAATCTTGGTCATGGCGACCTGGAGTCGGTTGGGTTTTGCTCGGTGGCACCGGCCCTTCCCGCAGTGCGACCCGACACGGGCTTCATGGGGCCTGGTAGGTCCGAGCTCTTTTGTATGGTGAGACCCAAATCGGGTTCAGTGGGACCCGGTGGGCGCGTGTCCACAGGCGTGAGCGGAGGAACGGCGGGCGGAGCGTGGCCAATTGAGCGAGCTGTTGGGGGAGTCGGCTGCGTGGGCCAAACCTCCTCCCAGAAGCCCTTACCTGCAATGGAGTTGAGATTAGGGGGCGCGTCGACCGCAGCACGCTCACCTTCCTGCGACTGCTTGCGCGGGCGCGTGTTCGCCAGCGGGCGCTCCGGTGCACAGCAGCAGCGAGACAAAACTGGTGTCCAGCCGTGCCACCGGCGACGAGCTAGTTGCCGATTCCCGGCACTATGCGCACTGGCGTATCCTGGCGTCGACTCCTTCGTAGGTCGCGTACGATGACCTGACTGCCGGACTCCGGTGTGCGGACGCGAAAAATTGTGCGTTGAGAAATAAAAAAGACCCTGTTGCGGAACTGGTGGAGCGGGACGGCCTCGGTTCCTACGCGCCATGGAGCATTCAGACTGGACGTTGTTTATAGATGGGGTTTTTGGTTTCGGGTTTTGGACCGATTTAGCATCCTCCTTGGTGGGCTTGGGCAGGAAGGCCTTCCGAACCGAATATTCGTCAACGTCCTTGCTTTGGTGCTGAAAAAAGACGGCTCCTTCGCGGCCGTTGCAACATTGCGACCTGGCCGGTGTTACCGGTTATTGGCAGCCGTTTGTTTGTCCGCTGTGGCGTTCCATGTTATATGCTTGAAATCCTCCGCAGGATTACTGCTTTTGCACATCCACCTTGTGATGATATGGTTCAGCTACGCTTACGAAGAGGCACTGCGCCTTCCGGGAATGTTAGCCTCTTTTGGTTTGGTCCCTGCCCGCCATGTCTCACATCGCGGTGTGGACTGGCATGACTAGCCCCAGACTTGTGTTTGGTTCAACAGATGCCGGCTTGTCGTGTTTGCAATTGACCGAAACGTTGAGACCGCTGTGTTGTCTGCTTCTGTTTCCGACTTCATCCGGTATTGGGAGGACTCGCTGTCCTTTGCTGCCGCTCGATCTTTGCTCCTACAGTACCCAGTGCACGCTGCATTTATGCATTGGACTGCATTGTTAATGTTGATGCCGATCCTCCTCTTCTCAGTGACTTGCTTGCCGATGCGGCCGTCACAGCGGTGTGGGTGCGTTTCCGCAATATGAATCATATGTGGCTGTGCGACGGGGATGCGTTACGTATTGCACCTTTGGACAATTGACGGTGCGCATGCATTCTGATACCCGACCCGGAGCCATGTATTGGTCCACCGGCCCCGGCTGTCAGACGACATGGTTAAGGCACAGGAAAACGTCAAGCTATGCCGCACGAAACAATTCCGGACTGTACGGTATGGAGGGAGTGTCCGTGAGGCATGCGTGAGTCGAGTTGTAGGAGTAAACGACGAAGAACAGCCAAAAGACAGCTACAACCATGCAACAAGAAAGCTTTATCGTTGCAGCACAGGACCCACGGATTGCTTATTGGGCAAATGCCTGTGCAAAGACGGTTATTGCGCAGGCAGCGGCCCCAGTGTGCTCGAGCTGCGATCGTTAATGGAGCATTGATGATACTGACGCGTTCAATGCTTGTTTGGGATGTCTGAGATGGCGACATGTGCAAGCCGCAGGCCGGGGAGAGTCCAGTGTTTCACGTGGACAGTCATCCGGTAGGGGTTTTTTGCATTGGTGGAGGTATGCTTCGCCGGTGCAGCTGGCGTCTAAGCCATGCCAGCAATTTTCGGCATGTTGTGCAAACAGATCTGTCCCTGCGTCTTGTGAATGACGGAGCCAATTAATTACTGGACGGCTTTTGGCTGAGGCAGGACGTTTGTAGTTGTTTCCATGTAGGGCGGTCCATCATGGTGTCCCGGACTCACGGGCTCCCCGTGGCAGATGGTAACGTTTACAAGTTCCGAATAGACAGTGGCGCTAGCGACGTGATGTGGGCACTGCGGCCTCGGTCGAACATGCCGTTGTTACCTCGGCATCAGCCCAGAGAGTTCTTGATCTCTGCAAGCCATTCGAGCTGTAACGGTGCAGCCCATGAAGTGTTGCACACAAAACGACAGCCAGCGACCAGCTTTGGCGTTGGGGAGGCAACTGCAGGCCTTCGGAAGGGCTCAGAGTTCCTGTTCAATATTGACAGCGGCAAAGCATGGGATCAGTTCCAGGAGCTTTTCAAGACACCAGCAGTGCTGGCCAAGTACGATAAAGATTTCGAATATTGGGTTGCAGAGGCAACGGATGCAAACAACGATTTGGTCCGGGCGAAGGAGTTGCTGCAGCAAGCACTTCAGGATCAAGCCCCGCAGATCGAACAGGATCAGACGGAGATAGATCAGGACTGATGCGAGATGTTTGGTTTCGTCGTGACGGCTCCCATGTCAGTTGATGCTAATCTGCTAATTTAGATATATGGACTTTCGTTTCACCTCTCCCGGCCGTCAGTTGCCACAACCAGCATTTGGTGCGGTGAAAAAGCACATAAGCAGCTGATGCTTGAAAAAGTAGCCGCCGACACGGCAACTATGGCGCACTTATCGCGTGCCTGTGCTTCGCATTCACAGGAACCGCCACGGTTTCGACCAAATCGTTGGCTTGCATTCTACAGCGGAATGAGTGACCTTGCCAGAACCTGAGGGAAGAGTGCCGATCTGCTGGTAAAGTTCTGGTCGGCACAGCTGAGGAGCAATTTCCCGAGTACGAAGAGCTGGCTGCTCATATTGCAGGGTGGTGCAACATTGTGCAGTGCTGCACTGGCTACGAAGCAAAGTGTAGGTTGGAAGAGGAGTACGTCCACTTCGTGTTTAGGCCGTGGTGCGAAGCCCCGATGCAGTGAGGGACAATTGCTTGACATTGTCAGGATATCTCCGGTGCCACTTCTTTTCCTACTTCTGGGCGTCGTCGTGTCCATCACGACTTGTGTGTGGGACTTGCTTCCACGCTTGTTTGGCTACGTCAACTGAACGGATTCTTGCGTCCCTAAATTTTCAGGCTTGTTTATGTTGTGGTGGCAGCGGTCGAAACCTCAGCAGAAGACGTACTCTTTGCACCAACATGGCGGCCGTCAGGAAACACGCATGTGCAAACCGGGTGCAGGATACCACTTCAGCATGGATTTTTCAGACATGACGCATGACGGGGCCTTGTCGCTGTCTGCTTGACTTGTTTCGCGTTGCGCTGTTTAAGTCTTCAGGTTGTGTTTTTGTGATGTTGACCAGAGGACGAGACGAAAGGCTTTGTGTCAGGCCCGCGCCTTAGCAGCCCTGATGCTTCAGGTCGTCTACTGTTACAGCCGTTGCGAGGCAGCACTGGCAATGCAGTGATCGGAGACGAGGAGTTTGCTAGACGAGCTTGGAAGAAAAGACCCTCGCCACGGCCCAAGAGTCCAATGCTTTCACGGTGCATGGGAGTGCTGTTGTTGTGGCCAGTTGTAATGTCAAAAGCACAGGTGTTTTCCCATGTTCTGCGCTGCGCTTCTCATCATCCTACTGTGTTTGCCGGGGCCTCGCTGGAAAATGGGATCCTTTTGGTTTTTGGAGGTGGTAGGCCGGCAGATCAAAAAAAACGTTTATCACGTTGATGTGGGCGGCAGCATCTCTCTTGCAGAGAAACTTTGAGAAGAGTTGGAGAAGGTTTTTCCCCATCGTTGTTTTCTCTTGGGCATCGATCTTTGTCTTCCTTAGTTTAGGCCATGCTGTACATGTGTAAGACTTAAAGAACTTCGTGTTCTTGGGGGTTGAAACGCTAGGAATGTGGTTCTGTGTGGTGGTGGAGTGAATGCACGGCCCAGCTTTGGTGGCCTTACCCGGATCGTCAATGCTGCTTGGACAGCCGTGTGCTTAGCAATGAGTTGAGCCAGGACATGTTTTCATTCCTTTGGTCGAAATGCACAACTATGACTAGCTCAGGAGTACATCATCGTTTCGTCCCTCGACCGGGCGATGGAGACTCTGACCGAAATCAGGCAGGCTGCCATGTTTCCAGTTTTGCATCCAGCAGGACAACGCGGTCGACATTGCAAACGCAAGTTTGACAATCAACGAAACGGTGGTGGGCTTGAGTCACAGGGATACGCGACTATCTGCTCATGTCAAATTTTCTCAGGTCACAAACTTGCATGACAAGCTGTTGGAGGCCACGTGACCTTAGCTGCCTAGCACTAAGCTGCCTTTCCCACTGACGCGCCTTTCAGCTCCCGTTGACATGCAAGACGGACAGCAAGTCTCACGCTCAGTTGCTTGCAGCAAGCGCACAGAAGGCGTCGAGGCCGAGGTTACTAGTAGTTACCGACAGTTGCATTTCCCCAAACAGGGTGGCACAAACTATCGTCACAATCCTGTTCTACTTGTACCATTCAGAGTAAAGAGAATTGGTTGTGTGCACTGCGGATAACTTTCCCCGGGACACCGTGCATATTTCGTGCTCAAGCCGAATTGTTTGCACAGGATCCGCTCGGTCCGGAGAGCCCGATTCGGTGTTAATTCGAATGCCAGGGCTACATTTCGTCCCCAGAAATTTTGAATCGCCAGAGCTTGGGGGAAAGCATGTTGGCCATGCTGTCACTGAATTCCACAACTACTCGGGGGCACGCGGTTTGGCCGTCCTGCCAAATCCCGCCAGTACTTGAGGGAAGCCTTGTGGCCGTGCTCCTGAACCCCGCCAGTACTCGGGGGATGCAGTTTGGCCGTGAGTGTGTGTGGGGTCTCATGAGGGCTCTTGCTCCGTGTAGACCGACAGGCTACGATCCGAGATTACACTTTATTGACATAACTTGACTTCACAGGGTGTGTTTGGTTTGATCAGCATAAGCTTTGTTCGCTTCCAGTTCTTTAGCTCTACTGGATTTTGAGTTCTGTGCTTGGGGTCCAGCCTGAAGAGCCGCAGAAAGAAGAGGACCTCATGATTCAACGTAATCACGCCGCATTTCGAGCAATTCGAGCGGGCTTGCTCAAGATTCACTTTTCATGCAGCCTCTCTGCTGCTGCTGCTGCTGCTGCTCCTGTCGTAGGCTTGCACGGCTCTGATGAACCGGTCGTCAGCACACTGCCGAGATGGCTCAGAGAGAGAGAGAGAGAGAAGCTGGTGGGGGAACTTCCCCTACCCATAATCCTGCCGAAAGAAAGAGAGAAGCTGAAGCGACGCTCACCTCAGACGGACTTGCCCAGTGCGCATGCGGGCAGAGGGGGGTTGGGGGGGTTGCGCCCCTGTTTGCTGTGTGGAAGAAGACCTCACTCACTGTTGGGTGGGTTGTTCATCCGCTTCGACCAGGGGAGGAGATTCTGCCCAGTTCCCAGTTGACCTGCAGCTTGCTGGAGCGGAGCTGTTAACAGATTCTCCTGCATTTTGTTTGTCCTCGTGCTTCATCGTCTTCTTCTTCGGTCTGCTCGTTGGGACATGCAAGCAGCCGCCTGCCCCAACCATTGTACAGTATTCGGGCAGCATGTCCCGTTGAACTCGTCACGTCGCATGAAACCCAATATCTTGGCCGCCTTACTGACGGAATGCTTCTTCCCTGTGCAGGTTGCTTTGTTTCTTGTCATTCCGAGGGCTGCCAAACAAGTCCTCTACACCTTTGTGCACAGCGCTCTTGGTCGACGCCTCGTCACTAGCACAGTACTCACACGAATTAGAATAGTACTTCGTCTGATCAGGTGCGATCGACGACTATGTCGAGCAAGTGTACTTCATAGTCGAGACAGTGCCAGCCGTAGTTTTGTTTCTTGACTAAGGCTGCATATCTTGTGTCAGTGAGTCCAGGTTCAACCCATTCCGGATCAAATTGGGAAATTCAAGAATTTGACGCATCGTTCGTAGGCTCAGTGCGTCTGCCTGCATCACCAAAAAGTTGGTGTTCGATTGACGGCGTTCTTAGGTGCAAAGCCCTTCTTTGCGTCACTCCCATTGGCCCCGCTCTGGCTTGTGCCGCTGCCCCTGGCACCTGGCACGAAGCACCCTGATGACATGTAGCATCTTTCTCCGTGCTTTGGTGATGCTTCTCAGGGCTTTTATCTGTTCTCGCCTCGGTGTGGGCGTGAAGCTTGCTGACCTTAGCTGACCTTCTGCCTTCCCGCCTATTTGAGGCATCGGAATCGTGGTAGAGGCAACATGTACCACCTGCTGCCCCTGGCCCAGCCGCAAAAGCGCAGTCATCGGAAGCTTTGCAGAGCTCGGGCGAGGCAGAAGCAGCTCTCTGGCAAGATGTGTGGACGTGGGCTCCGAGCTTGGCCTGTGCCCGCCTTTGCTGCTTAGTTTCCAGTTCGATGAGGCCTGAAGTTGTCGGCCCTCCTGTTTGGGCTCATCGTGGGTGCCTGACGACTCCCTCATAACATGTACTGCAATTGTCTGGAGTCTGGAGATTGGACAAGTCCTCCAGCTCGACCCGCCGCTCAGGTTTTTGTGGTTGCGGTGCTGGTTTGCGTGGAGACGGTAGTGCTAATAGCTCTCAGCCAGAACCCCGTTGCAAAAGCCACTCGTGTGCCCAGGGAGCTCTGCTTTTCCCAGAGAGTTGGACCCTTCGCCTGCTTGAGGCAAGTTCTGCGAGGATGTTGATCACAACGTTTTGTCCTACGTAAATTCCACCACGCCCTGGGCCCGGCGATCCTTCTATGACTTTGGTTCAGCTTGAGTCGCAACCAAGCACGAGGTACAATATTTCGTACATCATACCAGAAATTGCAAACTACTACATTCGCTCGGCGCTCGAACCGCCTACACATGTCTTCTGAAGATTGTTTGTTGTGTTACGAAAGTCCAGGCGGCGGGGACCGGAATCCAATCGACGAGTCAGCGTCTCAGCTCCTCTGCAACTTCACTGGCCAGGTGAGAGGTGCATGCATTGTCCCTGTCTACTGTAGAGTTTTTGTGGGACGATGCTCACCAGTGCAAGAGCACGGCTTTGCATGGAGTCAAGACTTGGCCCCGATAGACGAACGGCGCAGAGAAGCTAGCTCGGAAGTTGAAGATGTCGGGCAGCCTTGTGCACCTGAACTGGGCGCGGACCAGCCGCGGCTGCGCCCAAAGCCACGCAGGTAAACCTTGATCTCGCTGGAACCGAAGCCCAAGCCGCAAACCCCCAAAGACAGCACTGGGCCGGCAGCTTCGAGTGCCAGGCCAGGCCGACAAGAATCGAAACCGTAACAGGACATGGTGTGGGTGGCGACGGCCCTTGAACCACCAAATCTTCTCAGGAGACACCATCTAAATTCGCTGGATGACTGATTCGAATCAAGCACGCCACCGTAGGACCATAATTGTTCAACGGCCCGGCTTGTCCCGACTGCGAGAGTCGAAACCCTGAACTCCATAGCATGACGCCTAGAACTTGCGATGCTTGGCAAACTTCTTGATATTTACAGGCCCTGAAATGCACACGTCGCCTAGGCGAGACCTTCGCGAACACGAGCGCCGAGAGGGTCATCGATCGCAGTTCGAATCAGTACCGCCCCTGCGCTTCGGGCTCACAGCAAGCACACCAAAACGCAAAACCAACAGTCACAAAAACACACACCGCAAAAACGTTGAAATGTCGCGGCGGCCACTGGCAATCAAATGACATTCTGAAGCCTTGGAGGCGTGTAAACCGAGCGAAGGTACGACACCCTCGCGATGAAGTACATCAACCAGATTCAGGACTACTACAATCAGGCTTGCTCGAATTGGCGGGTAGATTTCAGGTTTTCGTTGCGATGTGTTTCAGGCAGCCATCGGGGTAGCCGGCTTGGGCCTGGCTTGTGGCTTGCTGCAAAAAGATGGAGAGAGACAGCATTGAGTGCATCCGTACTCAACAAAGCCAGGCCCCGCATTCTTCGATTTGGACGTTAATGCGATTGCAACCAAAGCACGTGGAATCTTGGGAAAGCCAGGCGCTCAATGCAAGAGAGGCTAGTGATACAGCCAGCACATGCTTGCACTTGCATCGGTGTGCAATGGCGGTTCGGGTGCCACGGGGTACACAGCAGAAGATCGTAAACTGTAAGATATGCCCAGAAGGTTATTTCTGCACGCGGAAGACGTGGAATGACTGTAGGGTAAGCACGTCCGCAGGCTATCCCAAGGTCTCGTATTTTCCTCTAACAAAGGCCTTCCACAACTAGTGTCGGACTCATTGAATGTTCGAGTGAGAGGATTTGAGCAGTTTTGTGCCGCTGTGCTCCATAAGAGATTCGATGCAGCCTTCCGACGGGTGTTTTGTTAAATTGGCATTTAAGCATGAGGGAAGTGGAGTTTGACTGCGATAGCTGGAAAGGGCCATGTATCGTGGCAGAAACCGGGGCAGTACAGCGCGGGCAAAACGGAAGATCAATAGTTCTATCAGCTCGCAGTTGCCCACCAATCTCTAATCCTTCAATGTTGAGAACCGTAGCAATAGTAACAGTAACAGTAATTATAGCAATTATAATTAGTGATAATGGGGGGTGGCTTCAGTTTTTGAGGGGTGGGAGGGGGGCGAGAGGGGGGGTGGCAGCCTTGCCAGTCGAATTGATCTCGCCTAGGGCAGGATAGCGAGTTTGCTGGGGGGGAAGGGGCGCGGCTACCTACTTAGCCTTGCTAAAGTGCTTGTCTTGGAGTGGTCGGGCCAAGCTTATGTCAATTGTGCATGCTATCAACTGGAGCAGAGAAAGTTATTACTCGTAGCGGAGGCCCAGGTCACTAGGCAAGCAGTGAAATGGGCACTTGACGGCACGATCATGGCAGGGCGAGGGAGCTGTTGAAGGGCGAGAATATCTACCCCTACTACAGGAAGGCTCGGACGTGTCTTCTTCCTAATCCTGACATGTGATGGGGAGTTTCAGGTCGTTCGTGCCGGGATCTGCAATGTGGTCATCAGCGGTGTCGGGCATCCCAGCAGATTGAGGCTAGTAACGGTCAGTTGAATACTGACTGTAGCCTTCGGATGGACAGCCTCCTGTTGGTACTGTACCGGCCGGACGGTACCGTTCTTATGAATCCCGGAGGCGGAGGGATATTCGGCCAAGCTGCATTGACAGACAGGCATTGTAGCATGCGGGTGTAGTGCGCCTGTAAATTCTCCTCTCCGGGACTCGACTTGGTGCTCAAAGCTGGTATTTGGTCAACTCTGATCATCGGCATGTGTCGCTGCAAGGCATCGTTCAGAGGCACGTGTGTTTGCTGGTCCTGAAGACGTGGAGGTATTTTGTTGCCGATTGTCGAGCCACGGTCAAGAAAACGGCTGTAGCAGCGCCCACAGGCGACAGGTTTCACAGAAACCCGATGTCAAGCATGCATCCAAGATAGATGTCGTACGGCGGAATGAACTTGCGATCTTTTTCTATGTGTTCCTTGTAGTATGGCATTGGTACTTTCGGTTTCTGCCTTGTTTCGGGCCATCATGTCCTGCGGCCCTACGAAGCTTTTCTGGATGCACCAGGTCGGATGGATGTGGCTGTTGCAGGTAGTAGTGGGCCAGACACTTGGTATAGCGAAGTGCACGTTCTGGGTAGTGGAACACGCAGCCGCGCTGCATTTTCATGGCTAGCACTGCAGGCATGGTACTGTCTACTCCTTACTCGGTGTGCTGTAGTTTGAGTGTCATGTGTCTTACGGCGGCCGATGTGGCTCTGTCGGGAATAGGCTCCTGAACGAACCGAGGTTTCCGACTTGTGCACGACACCCGGCCGGCACACGAAGAGCATGCCAGATCTTGTTGAGTTGGAAGCTCTGGAATCTTGCCTCGTAGTGCCAGAGGCCATCTTGACCCACAGATTTCTTGTGAGTTGGGCAGCCTGGCAGAAGGTCAAGGAGGCCGCACAATCGGTGACGGTATACATGATGGATCAGTGGATGGCATGTGGAGGCCCGACGGGCCAAAAAGGTGGACCCTCAGCCCTGCCACCTAGTGTGGCTTCACGATGCAGCACAGCGCACCAAGTCACAGCCAGACTCACGCCTGCAAGTGTTTCTCAGGTCAGATGACAGCAGTGATTCTGACGATGGCAGTGTCGTGAGTGACATGACATCTGGGACAGAGCGGAGCCCTATGATGGGCAGACAAATGCTGCCAGCAGCACCGTAATTACTGCGGTGCTGGCTCCGATAGTGTGAGAAGCCCGCAGCGGACAAAACGCCTGCCACGGGATCCTTTGGTTAAGACAATTAGAGTAATTAAAGGCAGAGACTCGTCCACCTCAACGGGGCCTCTCTGCACTCCTTGGCTACAATGCCGAGACACACAGGTCGCTGGATGGTGCTCCAGGAAAGACTTGAAGCTTACTAGCCCAAGCCATGCCATCCGACCGTTGGCTGCTCCTGATTAGGTGCCGATCCCCCCCGGTGGCTCATGTCGAAGGTAAGGTAGGTGAGATAGGGACCGCCAGCATGGGCGCTCTGATCTCCTTGTTTTTCCACAGATGACCTGGGACTTGGTTGACGTCTCAGTTTGGATGCAGACAACCAGCCAAAAATCTGCTTCCGTTGAGTTTCCGGCAGGTGCAGGTGGGAAGTTGAGAGGCTCACCTGCGCGGGGATCGAAGGCCCAGTATTAAATCTCTTGCCTGGAGAACTCGCGGGCGCAACAATCAAGCCGAGGTCATCCTCTTATGGGTTTCTTTTGTTGCCGATGCAGGCGGTCAAGGTCAACTCCTCAGCTGGGCCGCTGCCAAAGAACATTCATCCCGATCTGAGCTGTTGGTAGCAATCGAGGAGGTTGATCGTGCCAGCTCCCAGCCAGGCAATTGTTTGCTAAGCTGTTGACAGCTGACATTTGTTATAATCTTGAACAGCTTCGGACAGTGGTACCCTCTGCCAGTGCCAGGAAGCTCTTACCAAGTTATGTCCGGAGCACAGGAATACTCCGGCCAACTGGTGGCACAGAAGAACCGCAGAGCCTTGATTCAAGGTGACAGCCCAAGCGCTGGAGCTTGCCCGCGCCTGATGGACCAAAGTGTTCAGAAGCATCAGAACAACAAAGCTCAGAAGGTGTGTCGTCTACATCCACAGCACCTACCGACAAGGATTTTATGCCACATATCGCTTATCGCCTGCGTTTGTAAGTCTGGTTCTCTCTTGCGAGCCGTTGACGAGCTGGCAGGACAGCGTAGCGGGGTTGGAGCCTTGACCCGTGTGTTGAGATTCGAGAGTATGTCAGCCATTATGTTTACGTTATCAAGGTCGGATTCATCCAGACACCAGGAGGAACCACAATTTGTGCAGGGTGCCTGGTGCACCCGTTCGTCGTAATGCGCAGTTTTGGCATTCAGATTCTGCGGCAAGTGTGGCAGAAGTTGAACCCTGTCACGGTTTGCCGCTCGAAAGCCATTCAGGCTTCAGCTGCCAATTAGGTGCTGTAGTTGGGCTCGGGTGCTGGCATGATGCCCTCAAGAACCGCGCGCGTGTCAGCGGGTCTATGCAGTTCAGTCTTCTTGCTGGGTCTGGGAGCTTCAATGCTTCCGAGCAGTTTTGTCGGCCCAGTGCGTGGGCCCAGTTGCACCAGACTAGGAAGTCCAAGTGGGACAGCGAGGCCAACTCGCTCAGTGACAGAGACATCGGCAGGTTCGGCAGGTTCGGCAGGTCCGGCGGGAGGGTCGGTGCTGGGACTGGGCCTGGCCATGACTCTGCTGGCTGGTCTCTCTCGATCGCCTCACCCGCGGCAAGCCGGGCAAGTCCTCGCCCTCCGAGCGGAAGCAGAAGCGAAAGAGGAGGCTGAAGAGCCAGCTGAAGCTGAAGCGGAAGCGCAGGAGTCCGGTGGCCTCATGAAGCAAACCCGAAGTCGGACAACTCGAAGTCATCATGTGTAGATATGTGTAGTCTGTTAAGCACAAGGACGAGACAGAGGACGAGGAGGAGGCAGAGGCAGATGAAGAAGAGTGCCCTGGCTGAGACTCCAATGTGGGCTCTGGCAGCCAGCGACCTTCCCTAGCACAGTCCTGGCTAGTGGACACTTGAGCCTTGTCTGGTGTGTCTAAGTCCAGCATGTTCTCAGAGCCGGTATCCGGTATCCTGCGTACCAGAGGCAGAAGCCCTCGAAATGGAAATGTTTGGATTGCGGCAGCATGCCACAGCCCCAGCTCCGGTGTGTCCACAAGGACGTCTGTGAATCTGCATGGCGCAGCAAGGAATTTTGCGGCCAGCACGGAATGCGACAAGTGTGGGGCTGCGAAGCCCTCGGCAGAAGAAGCCCAGATGATTGAGGAGAGGGACAAGGTGGCAAAGCATGTTTCTGAACATGTCGACGAATTGTTCAAAGATAGGTTATGAAGGTTGTCATGATCGGTTATGAGGTCCCCAGTTCTAAACAAGTACATGCCAGGCAAAAGATGAAGTTGCGAAGGTCATGGATGGATTTCTCAGAATGCAGGCGGCGATTTGTCTTCATCATGTGAACTTGAGAAGAAACCTGCCCCAGGCCGATTTGCAGAATTATCGCAGGAGCCATGACGAGGCGCCATGTGAAACGCCTCATATTCTGCCAACACGAGACGTACCGAGCTGCCCCAATTGCAACCCCGCACACGCACACGTCAATGCCACATTTTGCGGTCAGGCCATGGCGCGAGCAAAAGATCTTGGCAAAGTGGACTGAAACAGTGGAATCACAAGTGAAGTGCTTGGTTTGTTGCAAGCTCTCATTGCTGCATTAAGCCGCAGGATGCTTTGCAGAAGCTGCTTCCGATTACGGATGACATTGAAGCTGCGGTAGCCGAGCCTGAAGGCTGGCGCTGGTTAGCACATGCTCTCGTGGTGCACCTGGAGACACAGTCCGAGGGTTCGTGGAGAGCATGCCAAACAAAAGGTAGACTAGCAGGGCAAGCGTGTGTCGCTCCTCTAAGTATGCGGTCAAGCAATTCGAGAACCCGCCGCGATTCAAGCATTGCCGTCTAAGCATGCGTGATTGAACTAAGCACGCGCGCATGATTAGAGCCCCTTCCCCCTTTAGCACAAAAAACGTTCAAGGGTGGTTCAAGAAGGTTTGGTGGTTAGGGGTCGTGTTTTTTAGGGTTTAGCTTCTTGGTGCGAAGCACATGGTGTTGGACTCTGAAATCGGGTTGAGTTCGGCTCTGAGGTTTCAGGGTGTGTAGGGGTTAGGTCTTGTAAGCTGTCTGCGGAGGTTTTAGGTTTTGGGGCTTCTGGGCAATGCAGTGTCCAAAAATTTCCAGTGCACGACTCCGGTACGCACATGCGGTTCGAAATGCAAACCTCCCTTTTCGTCCGCACATGGCCCAGCATCCCAACCCTGACAAATCACGATGTCACCGTGTTTGAATGAAGGTTTTCTTCTCTGTTGAGTATGTAGTGGTCTTGCAGCCATCATCTGTCTTCGAACATTGTGTGAAAATCTTGCTTCAGCAGGATCGGCTTGGCTTTGGGTAGGGTCTGTAATAACAGTCTGCATGTCACCTCAGCAGGCCCCCCAAAGCTAATCCGCCCGAAGATGCTTTGCAGCAGGCATGGATGCCAAAGACAAGGTGCGGGCAGGAATATAGCTGCAGCATCGCCGGAAAGTGCAGCACACCGTCAGCCTTCCGAGTGTCATTGCAGCGGTCTAGTCCAGTGCAGGCGATATTTGATTCCTACTCGCTTCTGTTCCGGAAGATTGGTGATGTGTGGACCAAGTTTGGGGTGGACACGAGCTTCGGCTTGATTCAGCTTTAGAAACAAATTCAATGACTTATATATCCAGTGGTTTGTATGCGGCGCATATCTTCAACCCACCCAATCGACCTAATGCTTGCCCCTGGCTGCCTACCTAGCTGCTTGAGCACGTTGATCTCAGGCTGACCGTCGCTGCTGGTGACATGTATGACGAGGATGCTCATGAGGTCGTGACAGCCACAGCATTGGAGACAGGAATGGTCCGGAGAACTCCTTGGCCTTGGCTTGTGGTGCAATTTGCAGACGGCTGCAATGCTTGATGCCGAGGTGGAGGAGCGAGAACCCACAGACGGCCAAGCATCGGGAACAATTATCGAGGTTGTGACACTCTGCTGTGAGAAGTTTCAGATTCAGATGCCACTTGCTGTGCTGTAGGAGCACCCACTCCTGGTTGCAATGCATCAGCAAAGCCCCAGGAAACCTGGTTTCTCTTGTGATGGCAAAGTGGTGATCTCCCCGCAGGTGCCCCGCAGCAGCAAGCTATATATTTGGACGATGACTGAAATCTATGCAACGCAGGTGATCATCGCTTCGTCTTCGTCTGCAGAGGTCTCGGTCGTGCTTGATTTGTAGAAGGTGTGTTTGTAAAAGTCAACATGGTCGATCGGGCAGGCAGAAGAAGCTCCGGAAGAAGCTTGCCAGCAAAGTAGCCCTGTAGCTGTCTCGGGCTAGCAAGAGCCAGAGCATGGGGAAATGCCACTGCACCCAAGGAGGCTGAAGCCGCCGCGTGATGCTGCTTATATTCGTTACTGCTTACTTTTCATTCTCCTGTTTTCAGCCCGCAGCATGGCAACGACACCTGTCGCATCGCATTGCAAGGAGGCGATGTGTCTACGAGCCAAACCAGGCTTCACAAAATTGTGCTTAGCAATATGCTGTTGCTGCGTTTCTTTTCATTTCTTCAGACGCAGCTACCGGTACAACGTGGCAACTTCGGGAAGTGCAATGGACCTATGTGCATGTATCTCAAAAGCCTTTGTAGACGGCTGCCCTCATGCTGCAGGGTTTTTCATGCCTACCGTTTTGTTTTCACTTCTTCTGTCGGACCACTGCTAACTCCTGATATTGAGCCGGTGGCTGCTTCTGGGTACTGCAGGACACCATGTGAAGCATAGACTTTCGAGATCTGCAGCAGAGGTCCGTTGTTGAACAACGCAGAAACAGCTCGCAAGATTGCGCGTTTTCATGTGCACCATGAGGGCTTGAGCCGGGAAGTGTGAGCATTGTCATCGTCGCACCGCATGCTGTTTTGTCTGCCGAAATTCGCTTCAAGTTTGCAGTTCCCTGCAAGCTTCCACCATGCGGTGCTATTCTTACGACTGGACGAGACCATGAAGGCTTCTGTAAGTCTGATTTGGCTCGTGGCATGGGCTAAGGTCGCATGGGCGGCTGCAGCTGGCAATGCTGAGAAGGCCCGAGACTTGTGCGTCTCTGCCCGACCCATGCGCAGCTCAGAGATGGCGTTCTCACACTTAGAGTCGGCTATGGCATCTAATGAGGTTATGTTTGTGGGCGGCAGTTCTGGGACTTGCCAGATGCACAAACGACACGGAGCTGCATCAGTAGAATAGAAACCTCGTTTCGGTAAAGTTTTGTGCAGGCCGTTGCGGACATGTTGCAGTCCTGTCAGCAATATAACCCGCACCTGTTCAAGATGCTTCAGGTGTCTGTGGGCATTACTTTGCCGACTGTCAACACCACCAACACAGCAGCAGCAGTGTCAAAGGGGGGCATTGCGGCAGCTGCTGCCGAAGCGTCCGGAGCCAGCAAGGACGAGGTGATCCAAAATGCTGCAATGATAGCGGGGCAAGCAGCCGCAGAAGATGCACGAACTGCCGGAGAGCCAGAAGTACGAGTGGAAGCACAGGCTGCAAATGCAGCTCAAGCCGCCGCTCTCAGGGCTGGGGCGACTGGAAATGAGGCGGCGGAGGCTGGTGGTGAGACAGCAGTACTGGTGGCTGGGCAGGCCGACCGTCCAACTGATAAGTGTTAGTCATGTGCAACCTTCACAAATGATGCAATGGTACATGCATTGACGATGCCGAGGTGAGTGCACCACCGCTACTGCTTGCAGATGCTTTTTCCATAGTCAACGGAACCCATTGCTTGAACTGGTGGGGCATCTTGCCTCAACCATGCCCACTTTCTCGTCCGTGATTTCGTCATATCCAATCGTACCACAGACTCGTTAGGCGACGGCTGCGCTGCCATCACGGATCATGATGCGTGCTTGAGCTCTCGAGATGGTGGTGATCTTGCAGAGCAGCATGGTGAGCACTTGGAGCTTTGTTGAGCCTTGGGGGTAACCGCGTCGGCCGTCAAATGCTTATGAAGTAATTCCCAGGATCAATGGAGTCAAAGTGTTTGGGGAGCCTTGCGTTTGGTGCGGCGGTGAGAAGTGTGGCGTGGCACCCTCAGCCTTGCAAGACCAGCTTCAGTAGGTGCAGGCGATTCTCCTGCACAGGCCACCGATTCACTCTGTGTTCCGCGAAATGAAGGAAGCACTCTGCATTCCGGCATGGAGGTGGCATCTTGCACAGGCTGGACTTTGCAAGAGCGGAGAGCCGCGTGTGGACTAACTGCATGTACGTGGCTAGAGGCTAGCCTTCTCAGGTTAGGGTGTGGCACACGGCGAATCCAACGCACGGGTTGGCAGCAGGGTCCAGAGAACCGAGTCTGCCAGCTAGCGTCAGAGAAGTGGATGCAACAGAAAAGTCTACGAGCAACGAGGATATGATGAATACTCCGGTCATGTACGGCCTGAACAGCCGAGTATGCAAGAAAACCCAAGTACTTTGTGATCGTTGGGGTTGCATGTCAGTATACGCTCGCGGAAAGCAATGGTCCAAGAAGGGCAACTCGAGTTTGGTTATGTATCACTACACGGTCCGCTGTAAGGTGCGGTGTCTGAGGAAGCAGGTTGACGGCCCAACGTGCGACAGTAGGCATGTCGAGATTAATCATTTTTGTTCATCTGTTTGTCTATGTGTGTGCCAAAGGGCTGCCATTCGTGCTCATCATCATTCACTCCGCATCCTCAACATCAGATTTGTCATCCATATCACTACCATCGTCACCCCCTGTTGAGGTTATAGACTATAGAGGTTTCGGTTTGGAGAATCGATTGTTTCTAGCAAGCAGTCACACACTTTGGGGTTGTGCAGCCGGCTTTTCGTACCCGACAACTCACTCCTTGGCTTCTGGGCCGGCCATCCATTCCAGAGTATTTGCTTTTTGGGTTGCAACCAGTGCCCGCTTCAGGGTACAGAGTGTTTCGCAGCCCATTGACAACTTGCAGGTTGTGGGCTTATTCGGTCCCACTCACTCTTTTATACTCTTTTCCTCACTTTGAGGCTTCGAAGTTGAGTCACCCCTTTTCGTTGCCACCGAGTCGCTCGTGTGAGGGTTCTGGGCTTGCCACCCGTGAAAGCCTGTTAGGGTTTAGCTTTTCTGGGAAAGTCAATGCTCTTAGGGCTCTGGGAATGTGGCAGCCTGTGGCCTTCTTAAGGTTTAGGGTGTTCACAGCGGTTGAATTTTTTGAAGGTTCGGGGTTTGGGAACCATTTTATTGCTGTTACTGTCTGTGGGGCATAGAGTAGTGAAATCTTGGCAACCTGTTAAGGTTTTGGGTTTCTGCACGCGAGGCACTTTCTTTGGTGGCGAGTTCACGAAGTATAATCCACAATTTGCATTTTGTGCAGCATTCCAAATACTGCAGACGCGGACAACTTGATCAAACCAATTGGCATTTTGACGAAGTGCCGCGTTTGCCACGTTCATTCTCTCATGCTGGTCGTCACGATGATGACAAGTGGCTTGGGCTGTCGGCACAGTGGTAGTGGTAGTTGTTGTAGCGGTAGTGGTAGTGGTAGTTGTAGTGTAGTGGTGGTCGTTGTCGTAGTCGTAGTCGTCGAAATGGTCGCAATTTCAATGAATATGTTGCGGAGTCATATGAGCTTTAGTAGCAGTAGCAATAGAAATATTGGTCGATGTTTGGAGCGGTGGCGGTGGGGTGTGGTGGTGGGGATGCACATGGAGAGGACAGGGGGGTTCACGCGAGATGGTGGGTGGCGCCACAAGGCGAACTTAAGAGCAACCAAGCGTATGCAACCTTCCATACTGGTTGCTCGAAAGACTGGGGTAGTGGCAGTGCCAGCCCGGGCATACCACAGAATAATCTCTCGTAGATGTGGTCAGCTGGCTGGGTGGTCGATTCGGGCGCCGAGCCGAGAACTTGAAGAGTCGAACCCTCAAAAAGTGCATGCAACAAAGCTTGCATGATGCTTCTTGGCACCAGGTGGAAGCGGATTGAGCTTGCAGCCTAAAGATTGGAATTCTGCGGAGTGCGGAGTGCGGCGTTGCAAGCTCAGAAGCCGAATTCCTGCCGCCTCTCAAGGCGAGACTTCTGCGGCTCAGTGGAGTGAAATTCCCGTCACTTGGTTTAAGCAGAGGGTTCTTTCATGAGGGCACGAGGGAGTTGGCTTTTCGGACCTTGCACAGGCCAGCCTGAAAGCCGGTGGATTTCCCCAACGGGAGCTTTTCTTTGTGTCTCCTAGCCGCACGATGTAGCACGTAAAGGCCGAGAGCATGGCATTCTGACACGTGCTGGTTTTTGCTTGGGTGGTTTTCATCGTCGCCAGGCTTGAGCTTGTTACTGTTGGCTTAGGCCGAAGAAGAGTCAGAGTGGGGCAGGAAAAGCGGCAGGCACTCAGAAATGTGGCCTTCATCATGTGCTAGCGGCTCAATGGCCTGTACATGTGTCTCGGAAGGTGGTGCTTGTCGGGGCGCATCAGCCGAGGATGCCAGTGGCTAGCCGAGCAAGCTTCTTCCGAATCCTTTGGGGCTCATAGTTGGCCGACTAACTCAAGTGCCAGTCCTGTTTGTCGTGTTGCATCCCGAAGGCAACTTGGACCCAACGAAACGTGTCTTGGATGCACAAGTGCTCACGAAGACAGTGTTCGGCATTGTGGGGTACGACCCTTGAGGAAACTACTATGCTACCTGGACAGCCGCCACCTTGAAGGAATGCCTAGAGATTTGCAGCTGGAAGCAGGACGAGAGATTGCAAGGGCGGCTGGAATCGTTTGTCCCGTGAGAGAACGGCATGGCTTTGGCACCGGTAGCAAGGAGGTTGAAGCCTGTAGTCGGGTAGGTCAGCGAAAGCGTCTATGCTTCCAGCGGTGCCACGTTCAGGACTGCACTGGTGTGGAGTTCTCCCAAAACCATTCCTACTGCGAGGCTGAAATCAGCATAGCATGCGCAATTTGCTAATTGAATTGGGTTTCAGCGACGGAGACTGCTGGCTCAGTTGAGGTCTGGAATGTCCCGATCCATTTCACAGATCCTACTGCTGGTATCTACGAGTGTTACGTCGCATATCCGGAGTCGGGGCAGCCAGATGGGATCAAATGGCGAGCCTCAGGTGGATTGTCCACAGAGAGCATCGCGGAGCCAACATCCTCCAACCTGACACTGGAAGTGGTTCTGGGAGCAGTGATCTTGCTGGGGATTGTGGTGGCGATCCTGTTCGCATGTAGAAGGTGGAAGAAGACTCCGAGGAAAGCCAAAGCAGAGGCTGCCAGAAAGAGAGGATTAGACATCGACCAGCATGCAGGCGATGCAGTGGGTTCAGGTGATGAGATGCAGCCCTTAGTGAACGGGGCGTTTGATTACTCATCTCCCACGAGTGTCCGACTCAGTCGTTCTCAACGAGAACTTTGTCATGCAAGCTGAGCGTACGGTTGGGAAGGGTGTGCCATGTTTCGCCATGTCTGTATGCTGTGAAGTCTTGAGGTAGCCTCGCGTCAGGGTATGGGGGATCCGCTTGGAACCAATCTTCGCGGCTTGGTTGCGTTTGACAACCACTCGGCCCCTTTCGTCAGACGTAAAGGTTGCCCGTGTTGGCTTGCCAGACATTTGGCATCTGTAGTTGAACCTTGGCTTGTCTCCTTGGTTCCCCAATGTCTGTACCTGCTGGTGCTGCAGCTTACTGAATCAGTTCGTGATGCACAAGACTTTTGATTAAGGCCATTCTCTTTTGCGCCATCCGGATCGCAAGCTGGGCAGGCTGCCTATGAGCCCTTGGCTCAGGGCGGCCAGCCAATGGACCCTTACAGAGATCCCCAAGCTGGAAGCCAAACCACCTACCTTCAGCAATTGCGGCAGTGGTTGCAGCTTCGTTGCACACGGAGGCTTGTTTGTAGACTGCCTCAATGGAGAAGGTGGCTAGCATGTCGAGCTTTGCTCACAATAGTATCCGAGGCAAGACTACGAAGCTTACCAGCATTTGATCGTTGGATAGCCACAAGGCAGAGTGCTTGGATTCCTGCCCTGACCACAAGTCGTCGAAGGAAGCGGCACGGTTTCGCGAGCTGGCACAGCTGCAGGCAAATGCACAGGCTGGTGTTGAAAGCCACATTTCTTCACATGGTGCGCCCGTTCTGATGGCATTTGCACATCGAGCAGGCTCGGTTTGGCTACGCCGACGGGGTGGCTGGCGGTAGTGGTGTGCCTGCAAACTTGTAGGATGCATCCCGATTAATTAAGAGCGACAATGGTAAGTAGCCGGCCAACGTGCCAGTGCTAGATGTAATCTACATGTGGTTTCGGACAAGATGCTGCCAAAGGGCAGCCTCTTGTGGAATCCGTGGGCACCAGCCTCCCGTTTCACTCTGACGACCAGGAGCAGTCAGTGCAAAACAACGGCCGCGTCTATGCGCCTGCAGCAACCCTCAAGCATCATCCCGGAAGTTTTCCACGACTGGCACAGGATCAGGCAGCTCCAGATCCCAAGTTGTGGGTTGTTCTGGAGGTCTTTGCATCGAGTCGGCTGCCTTTGCTGTCCGGACATGGCAGCGCTTTGAGGCCGCGACCCCTGACGCAAGAAGAAAGACAGCTGGCATGGCAAGGAACTTAAGACGCAAAGACGGTGAGACCAAAGAGACCATCCGAGACCCCAGAGGTGCTGTTGCTAAGGACGGCTGCCAACTTCTTCGACGCTGTGTCCGAACAGGTTGCGATGCCTTCACATCGTGAGACTGTATGTGAGATAGTGCGTTCATGCGAGAAGCCAGCACTACGGCAGTCGGTCTCGAATGGTTCAGGCCAGCCCAGTTGCGTTGTGGATTCTTGGGCCATCCTCGGTTGGCAAGTCCACGATAACTGCTGGATGCCTGGCATGCAAAAGCACCGCCGCGATCTGATCCATTCTTAGCTACCTTCGGTTTAAGGTTGACGTCGCTCCGTCCTTTGGAATACTTCGTGCAGGCCCGGACCTGCTAGTTTAAAAGAAGCCGTGGACCCTTGCGGCCCTTGCGTGCCAAGGCTGGGTGGCATCCGAGCACCAAACTGACCGCAGGCCAAAAGCAAAGCTGTGCTAAAGCCTCAGCGGTTTTCAGACCACGTGATGCATGCGAGCTCAGGAGACAGCTTGATGCCGTCGTAGTTGATGGCGAGTGCCTTCCCTCCTGCGAGCTCGGAAATTGACAAAGCAGAACTTTCCGTGGCATTCATGCTGTCCGCATTCATGATGAGATGCTCCTCTGACAGGTACATGCGCGAAGCGCACGGGGTTTGGCAGGCTTGGGTTGGAACTGATGATTGGCGCTCTGCTTACCCCGTGCCAAGCTCAGCTTTTACTTCCACTTGTCAAGAGAGTGTGATAGAGAAAAGGTGACACGCAGCATATCTGCAGGCATTGAAATCGTTCATCAACACAGAGAAGGACCCCATCGAGTAGACGTGATGAAATTCGGAGTGGCAGCATGAAGCGACTCCTACATACATTGTCTGTGCAGGACGACATGTGTGCTGAGGCGGCCACGGCCTTGATCATACTTGACTCAGTTGATTAAACTTGCTGTGGTTTCTGGCTTGTCATGTTGTGATGGCGGTTGTGCTCAGGTGCGCTGCCGCAAGAATTTGGTCATTCCTCAGACGGCCCTGAAGCTGCCCAAGGCACGCGTAGCCGCACAGAGTTATTGCGTCGTCTGCTTCAGCGACAAACCCGATCCATATAAGTCCGGCTTTACCCAGATGGCTTTTCATTCGCCTGCAGTTCGTGCGCCCCCCTCTCCCTGGCCGCTCCATCCATAGGCACTGGCTGAAATGGAAGACCTCAAGAGCCGCAGCAAGCTCGGGCATCAAGATGTTTGAGCAGCTGTTGTGTATTCAAGATCTTGTTTTCAGGCGGGTACACGAATCACGTCCTGGCCGTGGTAGCTCCTCTACCTGAATGCGAAAGACGAGGGCATCACAGCTAAACATACGACTGCAGGTTGCGTCTCCGTAATAACTCGTGCGCATCTTTCACTAACAACGTGTGCGGGTAAGGCAGAAGCGAGAGCTTACCACCGGTAAGCGCTACCAGCCGGCCGAGCCGCAACCCAATTTTTTTGAGCCAAGATTCCAAGTCGGCATTTCAATTGTCCAGCGAAAGTTAGCGGCCCACCCGAGTTTCACAAAGATACACTGGCCCGAGCTGTGAGGTTTAACCAGTCCATATCGGCAATACCTCCGCTGATTGCAGCCAGCAATGGCCGCTTCAGAATTGTACGGCCCTTACCTGCTCTGGGCAGAGCCTGCTATCTTTGCAAAGTCAATAAGTTGAACAGGAACAAATGTCAAACAATTCGGAGATCGAGCTCGCAAGTTACCGGTCAGAGCCGAAAGCGTGAGTGCGAAGATGGATGGCGTTTGTGCGGCTTGTACTCTGTGTCGGAAAATAGCATTTAGAGTACGACGACACTACTTGTGTTGACCTCGGGTGAAGAGCTACACAAGGACGCAGAAAGACAGTTTGCCAAGACAAAGCAGCAGCAGTAGCAGCAGTAGTAGTAGTAGTAGTAGTAGTAGGAGCAGGCGTTGTTGTTGTTGTTGTCGTTGTCGCTGTCGTCGTCGTCGTCGTCGTCCTCGTCGTCGTCGTCGTCGTTGTTGTTGTTGTTGTTCTTGTTGTTGTCGTCGTTGTTGCTATTGCTGTCGTCGTTGTTGTTGTTGTTGTTGCTGCTGTTGTTGTTGTTGTTGTCGTGGTTGTTGTTGTTGTTGTCGTTGTTGTTGTCTCTGTCGTTGTCGTTGTCGTTGTTGTGGTGGTGGTTGCTGCTGCTGTTGTAGTTGTTGCGCTTGTTGTCGTTGTTGTTGCTGCTGCTGTTGGTGTTGTTGTCGTTCTTCTGGTCGTTGCTGTTGTCGTTGGTGCTGTGGTTGTTGCTGCTGCTGCTGCTGCTGCTGCTGCTACTGCTGCTGCTGTTGTTGTTGTTGTTGTTAATGCTGCTCGTCTTCTTGTTGTTGTTGTTGTCGTCGTGCTTGTTGTTGTTGCTGTTGCTGCTCACTGCCGCTGCCGCTGTTGCTGTGGGCGATTGTCGTGGAGGTTTATCGTGATTGTCGGTTGCTGTTGTTGTTGTCGGTGCTGCCGCTGCCATTGCTGCTGTCGCTGGTGTTGGTGTTGATGTTGCCGCTGGTGCTGGTGCTGCCGCTGCCATTGCTGTTGTCGCTGGTGTTGGTGTTGATGTTGCCGCTGGTGGTGGTGGTGGTGGTGGTGGTGCTGGTGGTGCTGGTGGTGCTGGTGACGTCGTTGTTTATGAAAGCCTCGTAATGTTTAGACTCCTATCAGCAAACATCCAGCACAGCATGCTACGGGTATTTAGGGTGGAGGGTTCAGGGTTTAGGGCCATTGGAATGGCAGGATTAGGCAACCAACCCTAGGAACGTGTCCCAAAATCTAGCCTACCTCAGTCCTGCGCCAAGACAACATGCTAAGGATTTGTAGGGTGTATAAGGATATAAGCTTCAGGATTTAGGATATTTAGGACCCTTAGGAAATGGAATGGGAGGCTTAGGCCAGAAGTACCAGGAACGTCTCCGAAAATCTAGTACCTCAGCCTGCAATCCTAGGGAGCTTTAGGGAGTAATCGCTTCAGATAAACTTATAACTTACGAGAGAGGATGGACCGTACAATAATCTTCCTAGGAATGAGAGAAGCTGCACCAGCCCACATGTTTGCGCTGCGAATGCCCTCTCACTTCTTGCTCTTCTTGGCTTCCTTGCCCGCCTTCGAATCCTCCCCTCCACGCTTGCTGCCGGTGTTGAACATGCTCGGCGTCGTCTTTGCCAAAGGCTTGCTCTCATCGGGATTCGGCTGAGGCGCCGTCGCATCGATCTCCGCGGATGCTGCAGCTGCAGCCAACTTCGCAGCGGCCTGCTTCTCTTCCTCGAGCTTCTCTGCGGCCAACTTCGCAGCGGCCTGCTTCTCTTCCTCGAGCTTGTCTGCGGCCAACTTCGCAGCGGCTTGCTTCTTTGCTGCGGCATCCGCAGCCAACTTTGCCGCGGCCTGCTTCTCTTCCTCCAGCTTGTCGGCAGCCATTTGCGCAGCGGCCTGCTTCTCTTGCTCGCGCTCCTGCTCGCGCTTCTTTGTGTCTTCCTGCTCTGCGAGATGCTTGTCGGCCGCCAGCATCTCAGCGGCACGCTTCTTCTCTTCCGCCATGGCCTGCTGCAGCTTCTCTGCTTCCCGCTGCTCCACAGCCTTCTTTTCTGCTTCGAGCTTTGCCAGCAGTGCGGACTCCTGCTCAGCTTTCTGCTGAGCGGCGATCTTCTCTGCATTCTCTTTCTGGATCTGCTGCTTGAAGTCATCAAGCTTCTTCTGATTCTCGGCCGCCAAGCGTGCCTTGTACTGCTCGAGCGTCTCGGAGTTCTCGGTCTCAGTCTGGGCGTCAGGCAGAGGCTTCGGATCCGGCTTCTTGGTGGTGTCTGCGGGGCGAAACTTCAACTTGGACACCCAGCATGTAGCACTCGGCACAGCGGTGCTGGCCACGTACACGTCGCCCTGGTGCTTGCCCTGAAAGGATATTATGGCAGTGTTTGGGAAGGCGAAGTTGATCAAGGTGACTGTTCGGAAACACAGCGACAACAACAATCATTATACGGCAGCAGCAACAACAGCAGCAATGCCTTGCATCATCCATCAACATGACCGACGACTACAACGACAGCAGCAGCGACAGCAACCACGGCAACGGCCACAGCAAAGGCAACGGCGACGGCAGCAACAGCAACAACAAGAGCAACAGCATCAGACAGCATCGGCCGGCGCAGCAACAACAACAACAACAACAGCAGCAGCAGCAGCAGCAACATCAGCAACAACGACAACAACAGCAGCAACAGCAGCCACAACAAGAACAACAACAACTACCTCATTAGCACCCTCATCCTCATTAACATCAATGAATCACCAACACCAGCGGCAACATTATCAACAAAACAGCGGTATGACAGCTGCCATGATAATCGTGTTGGCTTTACTACTTACAATGGCTTCGGCTTTTCATAGACAGAATGACAAAGACACAGACAGAGAGAGGGAGGAGTCGATATCGTAGTGATGGCCTTCGTGCACTCGTTGAGCGACCAGTCCGTGATGCCGGCCTGGAGATCTGCCATCTCATGCCCGTCCTCGGTCACGACTGCAAAGTTCTTGTCGCCCAAGTGCTTCAACACGAAGCCGCAAACTGCTCCCTCGGATGTCTGCGGAGCCGGGTTGGCCCAACCCATAAACGTGCTAGTGATCATTCGGGTGCAGGGAGTAGTGTTTACAGTTCATCTATCTTGTTATGGTTTTTTAATTTTGGAGAACTAGGAATTGGCATTGAGCATCAACGCTAGGAACTTCTCTCTATGTTTCAATTGAATCAGTTCCCAGAAATGTGCAAACATCCAGCACATCAACGTGCCAGGGGTTTTCAGGGTTTCGTGTATAGTATACGACTATGAAGGCCTCGAGAAGAAGCCCAAGGAACATCTCCGGAACACGATTGCTGCACTACAATGCACTAGTTTTCCTTTCAGTGCATGGCAGTGCAACAAGTATTCAGATTTCGAGTTTAGGCCCATTGGGCATTGTCGGTGGACTACATTACATACCTCAACACCAATACAACCGGCTATGATTTTCTGGGCTGTAGTGCTTGGTGCTAAGGCTGAGAACCATTAAGCCTGACACCTTAGGAACGTCTCCGAAAATCTAGCCTGCATTGCATCAGCCGCCAACACCAGCAATTTAATTTGCAAACATCGAACACAACATGCTGGGGATTTTAAGGGTGTATACATAGGGGTGTAAGGTTAAGTAAGGGTCTAGGATATTTAATTAGGAACTGCAATGGCAGGCAGGCTTAGTAACCTCGGCCAAAAGCCCGGAAATCTAGGACCTCAGCGACAATGACAATTATTGCCCAAGCAACATCACTCTCATCACTGTCCGAATCCTCTGGCGGCGGAGGCAACGCGCCTGCCTCTTTCTCCGGCTGCTCCAGCGGCGGAGGCGGGGGCACGCGAGGGCGCCCACCCGCAATGGCAGGGCCTGCATTGTGTGAGGATGGATGGTTGTACGTAGGATTCAGTGTGGCTTCACACGATGTCACATTGTGCGAGATTCGAAGAGCAATGCTCTGATGCCGAGAAATATATACGAAAAGTCCAATATAACGTGCTAGGATTTAAAGGAAGTAGCATTGCAGCCTCCGACCGCGAACCCGGCACCATTATAGGAACTAGAATGGCAGGCTTAGGCCACTGACCCTAGCAACGCCTCCGAAAATCTAGCCTAGCCCTAGCCCCCCCCCCCAACCCAGAAATATGCAAACCTCCAGGGATTTTATTGGTATAGTATAGGGTTTAGAATAATACTAGGACAGGACCGTCTTAGGTTAGGAACTATGGAAGGGCAGGCCTATAATAATACTGGGAAACACTCTGAAAATCAGCCGCCAACCGCGCACTGTGCAACGATCCGACACAGCAAGCTAGGGATCTTCTTTATCTTTAGGGTGTGTGGTCTTCAGGTGGACGACATTTAAAATTTAGGACCATTAGGAATTGGAATACCAGGCTTTCGCCACCAACCCTAGCAACGTCTCCGGAAATCTAGCCAAGCCTACACCCCCGCCCAAGCCAGAAACACGCAATCATCCAACACAACATGCTATGGGGCTTTTTTTGGGTTGTACAGCATAAGAGAGCCATTAGGAATTGGAATGGCAGGCTAAGGCCCAGGACCCTAGGACTTCATGGGGAGTAGAGAGAGTCGGCCCCCTTAGGAATTAGAATGGCAGGCGAAGGCCCAAAACCTTGAATTTTATAGGCAGTAGAGAGAGTCTAAGACCCCTTAGGAATTGAAATGGCAGGCTAAGGAACGCTACGCAAGCCGCCAAACCCTGAAATTCCGTAAAGAAACAGCATAACCAACTCAACCCTTGCCTTTGGTGCCCATCCCAGGAAGGAAGCCGACTGGAGCATCTACGGCTGCTGACTTGGCCGATGGTGCAGGCGCTGGCAAAGGCAAGCGTGCTGAGCTCGATGGTGCAGGTGGGCCCGCCGCCTCGGTGTCAGAGGTCTTGTTGAAGAACGATACGCAGTACCACGAAGTCGTGCCATCAGACACAAACGGCACATTCTCATGATCCTTGTGAATCGTGGGTGAGATTTTCTTGCCTTTCTCCGGGGTCGGGAGCCACCGGGTGTGCTCCCCGCAGGCCAAGTACTGCCTTCCGGAGGCCTCGTCCGAGTGCACAGAGAACGACACAGTCGCGGACAGGAGGCGTTCGGTGATCTCAAGCATTTCCGCAAGCGTCTTCCCCTGAGCAGGCTTTCGGAGCTTCGCATACTCATCCAGCAAGAATTGCTGGATCTCACTCTTCGTCTGCCTTAGCGGAATGCAGTTTCGAGGGTTTGCGGTAAAGAATCAACATAAGCTCGCCGAAATCTGATGCGATCACGTGGCCCCTGCGGTCGTGCTCCTGGGGGCTGTCTAAACAGCCCCCAAAACAGGCGGCGTAGAGTTCTGGAGGGAACCTGCTCCGTAACGGCTTTCCGAAAGCCCACGGGTTCCGCCGCTTCAAGGTAATCGCGCAAGTGACATTCCTGATCGATTGTCCATCTCAGAGAAAAAAAATGCATCGCCAATGCAGCTGAGATTCTGGAGTGGATCGCCATGAAGTGTATTTCATGACCTTGCCCTTGCCGCGGCGGCTGCTCTTAGTCTTGGCGCTCTTTGTTGAGCGTGCCTTTGCCCTGCCTTTGCCCTTCTTTGGTTTCGACCGCTTGGATCGAGGGCTCTCTGAGGAGGAATCCTCCTCTTCGGACTCCTCAATCTCCTGGTCGAGGTCGAAGAAATCCAGCTCACAGGCCATGCTGTGACGCTGCAAAATGTTACAACGAATCAAGATTCAGGCTTGCAAGCAAATGCGGCTGAAATCGACTGGCATCTCATGCACTGTATCATCGCAATCGCACCTGCCCATCTACAACTCTTGGCAACCCTTGCTGAACAGCTTTCGCCAATTTGTTCTGTCACGACATAAGCTGTAAAAAGGTCTTTCTCGACTATTCCCTACACGCAGCTCCCCACATGTTGCCGGAGCCTGACTCCAGCAATCTGTTCCAGGGCACCTGTGCACCTAGGGACGCAAAGGCGCAAAACAGGACAATGCTAAAAGTTGAGCCACCGCAACCGACGGGAAATGCATGGCATTTCCGGCAAGTTCAGAGGCACGCAGACAGTCACGCATGGGTACTGGTGCTGGGCAACCCATAGCATCTGCCATATCCGCACTCACAGGCCACCCCAATGTTGCCAGCCGCTCGCGTGCCACCATCCAGCGGTTCCGAGAAGGAAACCACAACTTGCCGGAGCGGGAGTTCAATCTCAGAGTTGGGACTCGTCGGCTGATTGCACTCCAATTCAGAGTGTAAGAAGGGTTGTCCCCCAAGAAACATACCAGGTTTCTGTCCGTTGCTGCCGGGACCTTGAAACGAGCCAAGTAAGCCGCCTCGTACTGCTCCAGCGCACGTCTCTCTCGGGGGTTCAACAGTGGCCTCAGGTCCATGCTATCCCCCAAGACGACAGACACAGGTTCCTCTCTGTCACTGCTTCTCTGCTGATTGACAACTTGCATCGCCTCCAGAAAGATCTCCAAGTTGTCAGCTAACAAGTAGTCCTGTGGCTGGGTCCGCACTTTGCCTCGCATCTTGCGCCCAATCCTGTGGAGCACAGCCTCGGGGTCCTGCTGACACGAGGTGGTATCCTGCCTGGAGGCTATGACATAGGTCCTGTCTCGTGCGGCGCCAGCGTGCCCGGTCTGGTCGTTGCTGAAGAAGAGTTGGTAGAAGTCGTACCCACTGTGAGTTTCTTCCACCATACCCATGTCGAGTTCCTCGGTTCTGCTACACGAAAGGTAATGCGATCATTGTGCTGTTACAAGGAACATACTCCGAGCTGCCAAGGAACCGGTGTGCACTCGATCACGAAAAGCGGTATCTTCTTGCTCTCAACGAACTTTCCGTGGGTCATGTAGACGGTGTTGGTCGAGCCATCACGTTTCGCCTGCAGACCGGCTCGAGACATGTCTGTACAAGGTAGACCGGAGCATCCAAAGTCGGCGTACGGCACGGAAACATGTCCCCCACACCATTCACAGTGTTGTCGTTCCACAAAGCAGCTTCCTAGAATCCTGCGCTCCTTCTGTACATAAGAGGCGCTGCTGCCTGCCAGCAGCACTTCCTGTGGACCGTTCAGAGACATGATATCCTTGAACAGATGAGGCTTGGGACGGTCGGCTTCCAAAACGGAATTGCACCAAAGGTGATTGTCTGCCAAGATCTGGGCACACTTGGGATTCCTTTCCTTGGCAGCCGAATCAATGGACCGTCAACGCATGCTTCACTTTAGGTTGCAGAAGTGACAACGACAATGTGTATGGGCACCTGACACCTGAAACAATGCCAAGGTTCCCAAAGGGCAACGGTGTCAATGTGCATTTGGAATGGACTTCGCTTGTCGGGGCTATTGTTTACAGTTCGTTCAAGCATAGCTCGAGCTGCTTCAGCGGTACCCACACCGCTGCAGAAACTGAACGCGGTCCTGGCACGCGCCAGCCAGGACTCCTGCAGGGCAGTATGTTATGAACAGGGTCGGATAGGTGCTTGTGCGACACATAACATACCTTCCCAAGCTACGCGCCCTCTCTCCTGCAGCTGTGGATGCATCTGCTTGATGACCTCCCATGCAACCTCTATGGATTTGCAGGCTCGCTCAAGCCGGCTTCTGCTTGGTTCCTGCAAGCTCAAATGGCAGTGGCTCGCAGCGCAGGAGCCTACACAAGAAATAAAACTTCATGCTGCAAATACTCAAATGTTGGAGGCGGGGTGTAGGATAATCCGTCGGTCCTCCTGGGAGGATGATTGAGAGAAAGGCAAAGTTTGTGTCGAAGCAGTCTGGGAAATCAGCCCGGACACCGCGCTGCCGGTGCTCGCAGAATCATCAACATCGAACCGCAGCAGGGTGCCCATTTGTCCATTGACAAATGGAGCAGACAGCTCTAGCACTAGCTGCTGTTAGTTTCTGACTTCTAAGTTCTAGTATCTACGCAAAAAGTTCATCGCACTTCCGACAATACACGACTTCGAGTTAAAGCCTGCAGCAATCACACATATGAGGTCGCTATGGCATGTTCCTGGCATTGCACACAACACCTCCGAACCACCGGCAATCACAAGAACTCTCTCCCTCTTGCTCGACACCGGGCCAAGCTACCATTGGCCGACCATATGCAACCTTGTGTTGATGGCAACCTTAGACGACAAGGAAAGCGCATCTCAGTGCAATTTCTTCAGTTTGAGGAGTGAAAACTCGAGTCCGTCGATGCGCCAAGTGGCTATACCACACAAATCCTTCAACGGGGGCCTTGCCCAAAGCAGTTCCATCGAACGAGACCTAGGTCGAAGAACGCCACAATCACAATCCAGCAGCATGCTGTGGCAATGTCCAATTATAAGACAAAGTCACATGTCGGTGGATTTCGCTCCCCATTTCCCGCTTGGACGCAGCCATGTATGCAACCTGGGTTGCAGCTGCGAGCCCAGCTGTAATGACACAAGACTGCCGTGTGAGCGTGCATGAATCCAGCTGGGCGGCACAGTATCTCTCCGCGATGTAAGATCCCAAGTGTGTCAATGTGCTCACTGCTTTGTCTTTGACGAGGTTGCTGGTCCGAATTGCACGAGAAAGAAACATCTCCTAGGCGAAGACAGCAACTTACTTATCTAGCTTGTTCACGCCACAGCAAAACCTGAAGACGTGCATCATACTAATATTATTTAGGCAAAGATCGGTGTGGTTTTTGACTGTCTGTACTGCATCCCACCACACATTGGGGGACGACTTGAGTTTCAGCCTGCGCCTTGACTTCGAGGAATCAGCAGCAGGGAACGAGACTGCAAGCAGATTGGCATCCTTGGATGCGTATGGAACCGAATTTCATCAATGGTAGCCTGCTGTCACAGGCAAGCTATTCACTGCTGACAAGACTCCAGATAACTGCATATCTGCGTAAGCAAGCCGCTGACGAGAGGCTTGAGCGGTCGCGACTTGGCACCGTTCGTCCTGGGCTTCGGCATTGCGATCAAGCTTATTGAACATGTATCAGAGGATGCAAGCATTCAGTCATGTCGTTACAGCGAAGATGCGGATCCAGCGTGTAAATAATCAAGGAGGCAAGGTTGAGCTGGGAGCCCCAGATCGTCATCCAGGTTTTCGCTGAATCCTGCAAGATTGTAGATTTATAATAGTGCCAATGCCTCTGAGTTGTTGATTGCTAGTGTGCTGTTCAACCTACCGGGCAGGTCCTGGCAGTTCAGAAGCCAAGCCTCTTTCACAGAGGCTTGCTGGCGCTGCGTCAAGTGGCCCAACAGAAAAGCACTCTGTATCCTCCCTGACGTGTCAATCTCGATGCGATGTGTGGTGTTTTGAATCTGAATCTGAAGTTCAACTTTCCCTGTCCGGAACAGAACCATCAACAGTTCATAGAAAACGGTGCACGCATGCGTGCGCCTGCCTGCTTCCTTCCTTCCAGCCGAACACTGGCTAACAAGGCTCGCCCAAAGAACCGATGTGGGCAAGGTTGCTTGATGGAAATGCCCGTGACTCTCTGATTCTTCTCGCTTCGTGTCACTCAAGGATGGCAGAAGCTCAGGCACCGCCACGCCAGGCCACAACTGTTCATGGGTTTTCGTCCAGGAAGCCATACCCTTGGACCGCCAATTACCTGAGTATTGCATCAGAATAGAACTATCACTCAACGACTGACCTACTGTACTGCCAACACAAGCCAACTGATTCATTGGTACGCAGCCGAAGATCGCGCTTTCCGCTGCGATTCTTTCTCGGAAAAATCATCTGACGGGAAAAGAAGCTTGTACACAGTATGCACAGCAAACTCGCATTGACGATCAGCATGGTTCGAAGGCCATGCTCTCAGAATACCATCGGTCACCGGCAACTTTCCTGAGGAATGTGTATTTCTTGAACGAGTGGAATTGTGTGCAGCACAGCGTGATGATGCTGCATGCAGTCGAGCTTCTCTCTTCTCCGTAAGTGGCTTCAGTCATTCTCATGGCTGTTCAAGGCACTGTAATGAAAGGACCATGTTCAAGCAACTCGAATAAAATCATTGTCCCCAAAACCCCACGAAAGCTTGACACTGAGTTTAAGTCTGCAAGAGTTTCTACATGCGGAATCATGTGGGCCCAAGCTCGCGGGATGCGTCGCGCTGGAATTGCTGTCTCCGACTGGGATCAATCATGGGCTTCTGGGGCTTGTTGGGTCTTATTGGGTCTTGTTGGGTTGGGGTGGCTCCCCTTGGGGGGGCTCCAAAGACCTATTGGATCGAACCCTACTTAGACGTGAAACCCTAGGGCATAAACAACCCTGCAGGCCTCGGCGAAGGATCCCCAACTCCCGAGAACCTGAACCCCCCGCACCCCAGCCCATAGACCCATAGGCCCCTAAGTAGTTCCTTTTTGGGATTACCTGATAGGATTCTAAATATAAACCACAAAAAGGAACTACTTAGGGGCCTATGGGTAGACCCTCGGACTTTCGATGTCCTGCGTGGCGCAGGCCGCAATGAAGATCCGGGCAGCTTTGTACCGCGGTGCCATCGGATCCCGACCCCCCCTGAACTGTACGCAAAGCGGACGCTACAAGCCACGTCGACGGCCTGGGGTTCCACAAAGTCTTATACTTTTCTCTCGGGAATTCCTGTGCAGGGCAGCTCAGGACACCCTAAATGATATACACCCTAAATCATACATCATACACCCTAACCCCTCTACCCGCCGAATCATAAATCGTACACCCGAACCTGTATACGCCCAAATCCTCCACATCCCCCCTTTCTTCTCATAGCTCCTACTCCAACCTCGAGATTTCGCAGTGGCAGTCCGGATGCTGGGAGTGTCATCAAAGGCTTTGGGTTTAGGGTTTTCGGGACTTGAGTGTTTTAGGGTTTTTGGCTTTAGGGCCTTGAGCTTTGGGGCTTTGGGGCCTATAAGAAAAAAGTTCGGGAGCTTCCGATGCCGGGGGTACGTGATATGGAGCCCTAGTAGGAGAGCTGTCATAAGGACCCTTACTGCTCTGCGGTTTAGGGTTTATCAAGCCAATGCAACCTACAGCCGCTGTCTACTGTGGGAAAATACATAATGCAACGGAAATTAAACACACGAGTGGCATAACATACTTGTGCTTTTTGGTGGGTGTTGATACTTTAGCTATATCATATGATCAGGGAATGCCTGAGCTATGGTACGGGTCATAGGCTAGTGGGTTAGAGCGTCATTGAGGAGCTACCTGTTCAAGTCATCCTCTCCCAGTGAAAACGTACACGGAGTCACAAAACTCACCCCAAACCCGAAATCCTACACCCCGCATCCTAAGCCGTAAACCTTGCAGAAATCCCAAACTCCCGAAGCAGAATGCCTAAACAGTAGACTGGGCTCCCGGCGGAAGTGGGGAGGTAGGGGGGTCCTCCCCAAGATTGATGATTGAAGGTCTCTGGTTTATGATTTACCCTAGGAGTCCAGAGCACAAAATTTAGGGTTTAGGGTTCGGGGGAGGAGGAGGAGAGTTTCGGAAAACAGTATCATGGTAGGATACTCTTTTTCGATCACTGCCTTTCTGGAGCTGGCACCTATGCCGAAGCCCGAACCCCAAAGGCAAAAGCCGGCAAATTGTAACCCAAGATGTTCAAGGTTGCAGGCTCACATTGCATGAAAACTCAATACAAGTCACTCCTGGTATCCCACAAAGTATACCACAAAAACTTCCGAACCCTTGACTCTGCCCACATGAACTCCAAAATCGTCCAAGCCGAAACCCGAAATCCTAAACCCGAAGCCCCAGTCAAAGCAAAGGGGCTCTAGACAGCTCAGGGCTTTGGCTTCTTAGTTAGGGCGCCCAGTACGTAAGCTTACAGTTGAAGGCAACGACAAGTACAAGTTAAACCTTACTTAGAGCAATACATAGAACTTGGAATTTGCTGCGAAGCTTGAAGTACACCTCAAAAAGTCTCGGTAAGATCAGATAAAATCGACAACACGGACTGCCGCCATTCGTTTTATCTTACGCATACCCAGAACCACATTGAGGTTTGGTTTTCAAGTTCTGTAGGGTGCACAGGTGCATACATCTGTATTCTACCCAAGCGTGCCTTTAAAGTCCCTCTATTACGCTCTTACCTTCTAGCACACGAATAAAACCCCACAAAACCCCCATTTTGGGGAACCAGACTCTCCCCAAAACCCTAAACCCATAAACCCTAAACCCATACACCTGAAACTCCTAAACCCTAAACCCATATAAGCCCTAAACCCATAAACGTTAAACTCCTAAACCCTGAACCCATATAAGCCCTAAAACCCATACACCACAAACCCATAAGCTTTCGGCTTCCCATGGCAGAAGAGCATCGAGCCTCCACGCGGGCTGGGCCTGACCTGGCCGGCCTCTCTGTTTTGGGCTTTTCAGGGTTTAG